AAAACACTGACCCAAGTAACAGCTTTGCTCTGAGCTGCTCGCCCAGGAAATGCTGGGTAGTGCTGCTACTCTGCTCAGTGGTCTCGATTTGGGCTTCTTCACCTGAGCTTTCTCTGACTAGTCCTGCCCTCCTTACCCCCTGCAAATGGCAAGGTCCCTCTCAGCCTCCTTGTTGTTAACCATCCCTATCATACCACTGTCCTTCCCAGCATATAACAACCAGCCAAAGTAAGCAACACGTCTGTTCTGCACTGTTGGCCCTGTCATGACTTTGGCTACCCAACACTGGCTTTTTAAATTCAAGCTTTCACAGCATTAGGTCAGAACAACGCCAAAGATTTGGGTACCTAAATTCTGCACCTACGTAAAGCTGAAAGTCTATCTTGGCAGCTACCTCACCCTTGAGGCAGGAAACTCCTTGCTGCTGCAAGTTTTTTTTAACAACTTTCAAGTTTCCTACCTGCTTGCAGTGCTGCTTCCAGGCTTAGCCAGACAGCTTCAATTTCACCGTCAGAGCAGCTTAGACAGAAGTTTGGCAAAATGCAAAAAGCAGACAGCCCTTTGCCAACAGCTCCAGGCAGAAGGGCTGGTCCTGGCAGGTGATAAGAGCGTGTTTGATGGATTTACAAATTGGGAAGTCATTAATCTAGTAAACCAGTGCAGATAAGAGGTGATTACCAACAAGAGGATAAACCTATTTCATCAGTTGCTTATCAAGATAGGCTTTTGTTTGGAGTCAAGCTCCTGGACAGTGGGAACCCACTGCGTACTGGTTGGTCCCCCAATAGTAAATAATGGTGCCCACTTAACATCCTGGCTGAGAGAAACCAGAGGGCTAACCCAGGGGACTAGCCAAGGCTGATGGATGCTGCGTCCAGGGACAGGCAGGATAGAAACAAACTCTAGGGTAGCCACTTGTGGGTAACCCGTGACCTCTGGAAAGGTCAGGCTTGGGAAGGAGCAGCCAACAGCACTTTTTGCTCTTCCTGTGTAAGCTGCCATTGTGCTGGAAAAATAATCGTGCCTCTCTGGGAGAGGAAGAGACAACAAGCACTACAGTGACCTTCTGACCTGCTTCCATGCAGCATGGTTAAACAAGCCAGCGGCCCGGGGACTGAAACCAAGAGCTGCCTGTTCCCAGCAGGATGACCTAACGAGGGTGCAGTCTGGTGCTTTTGCAGAGCGGTGTAAGGTAGCCAAGGGCATAGAGCCTGCACCTGCGCTCCAGCCTGAACCTGCTGCCAGCAGGTCGAGGGAGGTGATCCTCCCCCTCTCCTCGGCCCTGGTGAGGCCACAGCTGGAGTACTGTGTCCAGTTCCGGGCTCCCCAATACAAGAGCGACAGCGGAGCTCCTGGAGTGAGTCCAGCGAAGGGCTACTAAGATGATCAAGCCACAGGAGCATCTCTCCTATGAGGGCA